GGTATTTTCATGCAAATTCTTCTGCTAGTTGGGGTTTAGTCCAAATCTGCATTCTTTCCTTCAAGGCTCAGGGGTCCAAGATTATCTTCTGTGTCTGTATTAATTGGTTTCCCTTTTCTTTGTTGAAGAGGGTCTGTGCAATCCTTCTGCCTAGTCCACCATCTTGCCCCGCCTCCCTATTTTTAAATTTTATGAATAGCTAGTACATTCACATGGTGCAAAAATAAAGTATCAAAGAATGTACAGTAAAAGCTTACCCCCTCTCAAAAAGAAGGTAAAAAAAAAAAATCTCTGTTAATCACTTTTCTATTATTTTCTTGTGATTCTTATTTAAGCAGATAACTGGTAGGTATGTACCCTATTCTTGCTTTTTAAACTTCACAGTATATCTTGGAGATCTTTCTATCGTAGAGTATGAACAGCTTTTTCATTTCGTTATTACATCTGCACAGTGTATACCATTATATGTGCATGTGTCATGATTTATTTCACCTATCCCGTTGATGGACATTAAGGATTTAAGTGGTTTTCAGTTGTTTTAGTCTTACAAAGAGTAGTTCAATAAATAACCATCCACGTACATTCCTTTGCCTGTATTCAAGTATAAATTCCCAGGCAAGGAATTACCAGGTCAGAAATTACATTTTTTTATCCGTATTGCTAAATTATCCCTCTATTAATTTAGAGCTTTGATGAGATTCCAATAAAAATAACTACTGGGGTTTTCAGAACACCTTCTCCTCCACCCCCAACTATAAAAGCTGATTTTAGAATTTATATGGAAAAATAAACACCACCGCTTAGGAAGATTCTGCAAAGGTATGCTGGAGGTACAGAGGAGGTGGTTGGAAAGGACCAGCCCTATCCAGAATTGGTATCATTCTCTTTAATTATTGAGGCTTTGTAACACAATTTAAAATCTGGTAGTATGTAATTGCCCTATGCCACCCCAACAAGCACTGTTGTTCTTTTTGTGTTTTCTTAGATACTCTTTTTTATTTTTTTTAAATAAATAATCTCTAGAATCAACTTCTAAAAATACTTGTGATGATTTTGCTTTGTTTTTAAAGATCACAAACATATTAATCTTGTGGTACTATTTTTAGAAGATAAATTTTAATATCTTTATAAAGATATCTTGGAAAATTACTTCTTAGGAGGAAGTGAAAAGAAGCAAGCTGTAACTTTGAAGTGTTAATTGGACTTGTTGACATAAAACTTGTGCTTTCTTTTTTATAGGAAAGTGACTATTTTACCCCACAGGGAGAGTTCCGAGTAGACAAAGCAGGATCCCCCACTTTGTTGAATTGCCTTATGTACAAAATGTCATACTACAGATTTGGAGAAATGCAGGTTAGTTATATCTGTTTTTCTATAATCTTTATTTAGAATATTTTTTAAAATCTTATTTGCCTCTAGAAAGCATAGAATAATGATATTTTGTGTATACTGTCTAGAGAAGTGTGCTTATCTAAAGATTTCTGTTGTTTGTCATTAAATTTAGATTTTGGAGACTTCTGTGAAAAATTAGAGGAAAAAAAATCTGTTAGATTAAATACTTCTATTAATTAGGCTCAAATTCAACCTTTGCTAGCCATCCCATCTTTTTACTTCATGCTTTTGAAAGCCATTGCTGTCCAGGGAAGAGGTGTGTCAGCTTGAAAACAGTATTATTGATTTTAAGTAGGTCACTTTACTGCTTGGTGGGGAGAAGCCTGTGAAATTAAAGGGTTGAATTCTATAGTCACATGTTCACTCTGTCCCAGTTAGCCATTACCACAGACTAAGATCTGGGTCAGAGTTTCCTAGAAAGTTAGGATGTTGTGGTACAAAAACTCAAGGGTCTTAACAACCAGTAGATATGCAAACAGGCATTGTGGCAAAAAGGATGGACAGTGATCTGACATTGTACTGGGTTTTAGTTCTGGGTCTGTCAAGTCCCATAACTCTTGGAAAACTCAGATTTTCCCTGGACTCTTCTTAATTTTTTTTATTATCTGTAAATACAAGTGTTGGAATGATGGCTGGATTTTCTGAGATTCTTTATAGCTCCTAGATTATATGACCCTTTGTGTTGTGGTATTAGTGAAAACTGCCCAGTTCTGTGTTTCTGTCTGGTTAAGTTACGCTGGAAGACAGTGGAAGAATTGCTTTTTTTCATTTTATGCAATCACTGGCGATCAAGATAACTGACCAGACTAAGGGAATTTGTTTGAGTCTCTGTTTGTGAAGTGATTTTTATCTTTTTGTAAAATTCAGTCGTGATGACTGATAGGCTAAATAAAACATTCACTTGGTTTGCGGAAGGGTTTCCATGTCACATTTTCTGTTCATTGTGTTGCTTCAAGATAGATTTACAAAACCATGCATTTGTTTCATCATGATCCACCTGGAATACCCAGCAGGTGACTTTTTTTTTTTTTTTAATCTTACTGCTAGATTTAGGTTTTTGTTTGTTTTGATTTTTCTTTGATGAACCTCTTGGTCTCTAAACTCATGTTAAGAAAGTAGTACTGGGGCATAATTCGGAAACCCAAGGAGGGGTCGCTATGAGTCGGGGCCGACTGGACGGCACATAACAACAACAACAACAACAACTGGGGCATAATTAGTTAGTTACCTCAGAAACTGAGTTGAGTAAATGATTTGTTTTCTGTTTACTAATTGTATCATCAAAGGACCTTTCTCTATCTTTGTCAACAATTTTAAGCCATGCTTCCAGCATGAATTCATTTTAGTAATATCTAATACTAATACCTACTCAGGAGTAATAAATGCTTGAAACATGAAGTATGTGTAACGTTTGCTATTGTATAGATAAGTGAAAACAAGATTATTATCTCACTTGGGTAGATTTCATTTTCATTTTATTATTGTTTGTGTGTATGTTAACATAATCAGAGAATTTCTTGAAATTCTCACCCTATTGTTGCTCTTTTTATTCTTCATAAATTCTCCTGTGGTTTGACCTGTTTGGTCTCCTTTATAGCACTTAAGGAGCTCTTGTGGTATAGTGGTTAACACATTTGGATGCTAACCAAAAGGTTAGTGGTTCAAACCACCAGCTGCTCCATGGAAGAAAGATGATGCAGTCTACTTCCATAAAGATTTGTTGTTGTTGTTATGTGCCATCAAGTTGGACCCAACTCATAGATTTATAGCCTTGGAAATCCAGTGGGGGTTGCTATGAGTTGGAATTCACTTGGTGGCAGTGAGTTTGGTTTTTAGCTTTGTAGTACTCACCTTCTGCATGGAGTATCATTGCTTAACTCGTACATTTATTTAACAAACACATACTAAATATCTGCAAGCAAAACATAGGGGATAAGAAGCGCCATTATGAATGGGATAGAAGAGAAAAGCAGCTTGCATCCTAGTGGAGGATACAGGTAATTTAAAAAATATTAGCAATACACACTATTATAGAGTAAAACCACAAGGTGCCATACGGAAACAATGGCAAAGACGGCCAATCTAAATAAAATATTTACCCAAAGGACAGAAAAGGAGCCAGCCATGCAAAATTGCTAAATGAAGATTGTTTCGGGCAGAGAGAATAGATCAGTTCAAGGCCCTGCGGCAGAAAAGAAGCTCGTGTCTATGTGTTTATCTCTATACCTACAAAAAGTGCTTTAAAGGATTTCATTTTAGTATTTTGATTTTTGTGTACCTTCAGGCTGTTCATCCATTCTAAAGGTTAAATAAAATTCTAATTATGATGGATTAGGTTCTTTCTTCCTCTTTTCTTAATACCTGTTTACCCACTGCCATCAAGTGGATTCTAACTCATAGTGACCCATTGGGTTTCCAGGGCAGTAAACCTTTACAGAAGTAGATTGCCTGTCTTACTAATGCAAAGCGGCTGGTGGGTTTGAACCACCAGTCTTCTGGTTAAGCAGTCAAATGCCTTAGGCACTGTGTGTGCTACCAGAGCTCCTTAATTTCTAGTTAGCAGCATAGAATCCTTGAATGGTGCAGACATTTAATGCTCTCAACTGTTAACCAGAGGGGTTAGCATCTTGGAAGAAAGGTCTAATGATCTACTTCTGAAAAATAAGCCACTGAAAACTCTTGTGGAGCACAGTTCTAGTCTGACACACATGCAGTCACCATGAGTCAGAATCAACTCAGCAGCCAGTGGTTTTTTTTTTTAATTAATGTATAAAAGCTGTTGGATTTATTACTCAGTTCTGTTCTAGTGTAAAGAGAGAGATTTAGCATTTACCTTCTAATCCTGAATGTTTTCTAATGTGGTTAACATCTAATACTAATATCACTTTTGCAGCTGGATTTTCGTACACCCCCGGGTTTTGACCGAACACGTAATGCTGAGATTGGAAACAAGGACATTAAATTCAGACATTTGGAGGAAGCCTTTACATCAGAACATTGGCTTGTTAGGATATATAAAGTAAAAGCACCTGATAATAGGGAGACACTAGACCACAAACCTCGAGTCACCAACATTATCCCCAAACAGAAGTATTTGTCAAAGAAGGTGGGTGCCAAGTGAAGTGATTTCTGTAAAGGGGGAGATCAAAGTTGGTTGGTTTGTATCAAAAATAATTACTAAAAGTTTTTAATGAATTTTGTTTGCCAGATTTGTAAAGACTAAGGATTATATACAAAGTTGATCAGGCTAACCTGTTAGAAACATTCCTTTCTAACTGAGCACTTTTGCTATCCAAGGCAGCAAATTTTTGGGGGTAGCATGATGGTTATCATTGAAGCAAACACTTTCTAAGCTAAGATTTTCAGAGGCATTCTGGCTTTAGTTTGTGCCATTCTCATAAAGTAAGATGCATCTATGGCCATCACTTTCTGAATGTTTCTGTATATTTGGCTCCTCATTTCTTCAGTCAAAGCAAATTTATATTGCATTTTCAGTTCCTTCTTGGTATAATGTTACTACATTTTTCATTGAATTAAGAATAGGTTTGAGTTGGGTGTCTTTCTGAAGTCCCCTCATCCCCCCCCCCCCAATAATTTAAGATAATTATTTTTAAATGTAATTGTCATGACAAAAATTGTAGGCAGGAATTATGATGATGAGACTATTGCAGTTCTTTTGTAATAAGCATTGTATTGTGGTCATTATTGCTCACTTAAATTAAACAGATCTCTGATCTTTGCTATAAAAGTCTCCTAAAAATGAGTATTTATATAGGTTGCCCAGCTGTGGGAGATGGGAAATTATTAGCAGTTGGATGACATACTAAAATTGCATTGTGTAAAGTATTGTTATTAAAGGACTGATTTTAGTCCTGAAAGACTTAAGGATTTGTGTCTTAGTTCCTTAATGTTGCTATAACAAAACTACATATGGTTGGTTTTAATGAACAGAAATTTATTTTCACACAGTTTAGGCAGCTAGGAGTTCAGATTTCAGGGCACTGGCTCTCAGGGAATGCTCTCTGGGTCTGCTCTGGGGGAAATCCTTAGCTTCTGTAACCCCAGTGTTACTTGATTTCTTGGCAGTCTCTACATAGCATGTGGCCCCTACCCCCCCATGTCTCATCTGCTGTTCTTAGATTTCAAAAGTCAATGAGTTTAAGGGCATAATCTATACTGATAAGGCCTCATTAACATAAAAAAGAAAACCTTATTCCCAAGTAGATGACATCCACAGGTCTAGGGGTTAGGATTCCAACACATATTTTGGGAAGACACAATTCAGTCCGTACGTGGTTTACATAGCACATGGATCATATTTATTTGAAATCACTGAGGCAATTGACTTACCCCTTTCTGATACTTAAAATATTCTTCAAATATATTCAGAATACAAATGTTTTCAATTTATACTAAAAAAAAGCTTGAATGTTAAGTATGTAAGTAGATTGCCCATTCTTCCTTCTGAGGAATGGCTGTTGGGTTTGACACACTAGCCATCTGGTTAGCAGTCACATGCCTTAGGCACTACACCACCAGAGCGCCCATATAAATAGAAACTGTTTTTAAACGAATGTTTTCTGTGCCAGATACAGTTACCATATCTACATGAATCTATTTAAAAGTAGCACACAGAGCTGACACTCGCTATGTTAATGACATCATCAAAACTTTAGAAGAATTGGTATTTTAGTATGAAGGCCTATTTTTGAGCCAAGGATCTGCCTCAAATTCACTTACCAGTCTTTAGATAAAATGATAAAGCAATCAAATAATCTGGTTTCTCACAGGGATACGTAGTAGTAGAAACTGGTGAGTCATATCAATGCAGAAGTCAAAGCAAATGCTGCTGAATGCAAATCAGATACTCCTGAGACATTCAGGCTCAGTTACGGTCTCCCTTTCCCCCTACAAAAATAGAACTTTTGGATTTTCTAGCATAGTGGCTAAAGCACTTGACTGCTAACCAGAAGGCTGGCGGTTCAAACCCACTAGCCACTCCTCGGAAGGAAGGTTGGGCAATCCTACTTCCGTGGTGATACTGCCTCGGAAACCCAAGGAGGGGTCGCTGTGAGTCGGGGCCGACTCGACGGCATATAACAACAACAACAACAACAATTGGTAATATAGATCCCAGAAGTGAATGTTCTTAATCTGACCTCTTTTGTCTTCCCTAGATGAATGAAAGATAAATATATGAATGGAAAAATGAAAATTAGTCTTCTGTGCCTGAAAACATATATTGTAGTAGCCAATAATAATGCTTTAGAATTTCTGTTATCTATGGCTTTGTATTCTATTTTGTATTAGCACTGGAGGAATGCTTTTTGTTTGCTTTCTTCCTCCAGTTCAGTATTGAGTTTAGCGGGAAGGGGTGGAGTATAGCAGTCATTCTGAGAGTTCTCTCGCCACTGCAGAACTGAGGTTGCTGTGGTGCTAGGAATGGTCTCTGGGATTAATTGCAGAAAAGACCAATTGGCAGGACTCACTGCCAAGGGGGTAAACCACCACTGTTCTCTCGGGGCTCGGTTACACACTTGCATAGATCTCGTGCATATTAGGAGCTCATAAAAAAAAAAAAAAAAATATGTTGGAAATTTATAATGATAATAAAGTAACTAACATGCTTGGCTTATTTAAAAAATCATGTCCTCCGAAGTTTTATTACTATGTGCCTTAATGTGATAATAAGTTAACATAATAAGTTAATAAATAAGGTAACATATGCTGTGGTTAATAAGTTAGCAGTAGCAGGTCTGTGAAATTCTAGGAATGTTGCTTGGTTTGGGGGGATTTTTTGGCTTAGTCATTTTTAAGTACTTATTTCTTACCTAAGGTATTATTATTGGAGAATATGCCAAGTAATTTTATTTCTCTTTCAATATTGTAGATAGGTATAGTCATCTTCACTGTACAGATTAGAGACCTGGGGCTCCAGAAGTTAATGAGTTAGCTTGCTATTTCTGACACACAGCTAGGTTCTTGAAGGGTGAAACAGGAGCAGCATTAATGTTTTCTTTTTTTTTGGGGGGGGGGTCTAGTGTTAAATTGTGTTGAGTCCTAGACATTTGAGTAATTACAACTAAGCATTTAATAGTTGAAAGGGGAGTGGGGTTCATTGGCTTGATGGTGAAGAATTTATGATGCATTTGTAGAGTGCTCTGGTAATTCTTTCATCTTAAAGCTGAATACCTAACCCAAATTCTTTCTGAGTCACTCCATGTGCTTGGCATAAAGCTAGTTAGTGGTGCTCATTGACTGTTCAGGGATTCCAGCTGTAGGAAGAGCTAAAAATTTATTAAGACGATATTCATCTCAAGACAGGAAACTATGTGTGTGTGTTTTTTTAATCTGTAAGAAACTTGCACTAACACCATGTATTCTGTTTTCAGACTACCAAGAGGAAGCGTGGCTACATTAAAAATAAGCTAGCTTTTAAGAAAGGCAAGAAAGTATCTAAGAAGACTGTTTAAACACACTGTTCTGGTTCCTGACTTGAAGCAGTTGTCCTTGTGAGAACCGGTCTTTGCCTTTAGCTCATGTCATGTTTCACAGCAACAGAGGGTACAGAACCGTCACTGGTCCAGGTTAATGTACACAATTTTCTGACAATGCCTGATTTAAGAATAATAATAAAATTGGCTTATTGAGAACAGCTGTTTCTGATTTATAATGTGAAGCAAGACAGAGCACTGCTGTAAATGTCTAGCAGCAGATCTTTTTATTGGTACATATTATCCTTCAAATCTGAGAATTTGGGCTAATTGCACCAAAGAACCCTCTAATTTGGTCCCTGGCACACATACTTGTCAATGTTTTTATTTTACAAAACCTCTTTTGATTTGAATTACCCAAATAGCAATATGTAAAAATATAAATGACAGTATGATGAGAGCTTCTTGAACCAGTAAACTAGTACAGGCTTGAAAAAAGAGGTATTAGAAAAATAATTATACTTCCTTGAAATATATTTATTTTCATGTTTCTCCAATGCAAAGAATGTTTCATCAAATGTACATTTTCTATTGCTTCCTTTTGACTCTGTCTGAGAAGAAGCTGCTGTTTCAAAGATGGACCTCTGAGTAGCTAATTGCTTCAAATAGTCTTTATGTTGACACCTTATTGCTGCTGTTAGCAGTTGTTTTCACCAGGTACTTACAGAGCAGATGTCATACATTGTTCATTCAAGGGCTAAATTTATATCCTTTGGAAATCATGACAACAGCACAGAATGTTGCTTACCAGGAGGAGTTTGGTATCTTAGTACTGAGATTAGTACTATGTTTACATGTGAAAGTTTAAGGAAAAACCTTAAAGTTGACAGGTATCCAAAGTTCATTTTCTGTGACTCTTCAAAATGACAAAGGATTTGTAAACTTCGCCTGGATTTCTCTCATATTTTAAAAAGTTTTAACCATCACAGTGATTTTGTTCTCTGCTCCATATTTTTTAATCCCCTAAAGCATTTGATGAAACACTCTTTAGAGTTATATGCATTTTCTTACTTTTATTAGAAATGTGACTAGTGTCAAAAATGCACTAAAATATAAATGGAGATTGAATATGTTCACTTTCCAGCTTATAGGCAACTTTATACAGACTTGAAATTTTCTCCAGTTTAGTAAAAGTGAAAGAGAGAAAGAGTTTTTCCTGCCACAGGATGTAACTTTTTTTTTATATAACACACATAACTTACACCACTGCTTTTGGTGGAAAAATGCAGAATAGTATGTACCTTTTATGAGGAAAAATGTAATTTACAATGTTCCGTGAGAATGTTACTGCTGATTTTCTTTTCCAAGGTGTAGAATATTCTTTGATTTATAAAATTCATTTTTGACCCAAATGATGGTTCTTTTACAGACCAATAAAATGGCTGTAACATTTTCACAAATAAAGTGTAACTGAATCTGGATTTCTGATACCTTGTCATTGGGGGGATTCTGTTTTACTTTGTTGCTTTAAAATTCAATGCAGAGAAGTTGTTGACTGTAGGGGAAATAAAGTTAATTCAAATTTTGTGTTAAGTGTTGTCTTTTACAAATCATTTTGCTTTTCAAAGGAGTTATGGAGTACTAAAGGTGCTCTGGTGGTGTAATGCCTAAAGCATCTGACTGCGAACCAGAAGGTTGGCAATTCAAACCCACCAGGCACTCTGGGGAAGGAATAGTTAAGATTTATGGCCTTCAAAACCCATTGGGAGTTGCTAGGAGTTAACTCCATGACAGTGTTTTTAAAAGGTTATGTGAAGTACTAAGCACACACCTCCTCCTTTGTTCACTTTTACCAAAGTTTCTGAGACTATGTACAGAAAAGGAAGGCTGAATTCATTCAACTTAAACTGGCTATTTTATTTTGCCGCCTTTGCCCCAGGATGGAATCTCTTTTTTTTTTTTTCTTGGAAGGAGGAAGATACTTAGCCAAATAAGAATTTTATCTCCTAAATTTAAATGTGAATAATAGAAATCATACAAAATTCTGCTACATAAATTTTTTATACAGTCTTCAGTATTATATAATTTTCTCATTATGAGCAAGGAGAATCTACTTGCCTTTTTTAGTTTTAAGAGGCTCTGGTGACCTCCTGGGTGAAGCATTTGGCTGCTAACCCAAAGGTTGGCAGTTCAAACCCACCAGGTCCGCCTTGGGAAGATGAGACAATCTACATATGTAAAGATTTACAGCCTTGGAAATCCGAAGAGGGTCATTATGAGTTGGAATTGACTCAGTAGCAGTAGTTTTGTTTTAGTGTTAGGAAACACCATTTTGGTTCAGTGGATTTCATCAGTAAAAGTATTGTAGCTGCTTAAGCATTTGTGGTTTTATTGTAGCAGAAAATTGAAATTAATAGTTTGGTTACATATAAGATAATTGGCTCACAGTGTTTTCTAGATCTCTAAATTCACATGCGATCAGTAACACTATACATCACAAAACTTAAAGATCATGACCATAAAGTTTTAGACTGTAAAACAATTTGTTTTTATTCTACATTTCAGAATTGAACAAAGTCATAATGCTTTGTAGTATAAATAAAGCAGCAAGGGTAGCAAGTGTTACTGTTTCCAGAGCCAAGAGGCCATAAGATCATGGAATTTGGAGCTGCCTCTTCTTGATGGGCGCTGCCCCTGGGTGTTACAAATGGTTAACACCTGCTAATCACAATATTGGAGGTTCGAGTCTACTCAGGTACCTCAGAAGAAAGGTGATCTTCCTAAAAGTCAGTTATGAAAAACTCAATGAAGCACAGTTCTTTTGTGACACACATGGGTCGCCATGAATCAGAATCAACTTGATAGCAATTGGGTTTATTTTGGTTTTGCTTCTTGATGGTGTTTTTTCAGAAATCCATCTTGCTTTGTCTACAATCCTGAATTGAGATAGGTGGAGTAATGATAAATGTAGAGCTTAACCTATGGTCTGCAATTGAGATGGTAGATAATTGAGATTGAGGTCAAACAACCAGTAATGAAATGCCATGCTGTCTAATCTTTCTTTTAAATTAAGCCCTTTTGATTGTGAAATTTAACAAAGAAAAAAAGATGAAAATGTCCAGGTAGTGAATTTCCACAAAGCAAGAGACTTTGTAACCCCAACTTAGGTCAAGGAAGGGAATAGTGCCATCACCCTAGGAATTCTTCATGGTCCCTCCTCATCACTGCCCTGTCCCACTTCTTCCTCCAAAAGTTAATTACTCCACTAGCTTTTTTTAGTACTTACCTTTATGTTATGTTTTATCACCTAAATATTTCTCCCTAAATGTGATTACTTAATTGCACCTAGTCTTTGAAATTTCTATAAATCGAATCATAGAATATGTATTCTTTTTTATGTTGTTTCTTTTGCTCGGTAGTATATTTGGGAAATTTATCCAGATTGTTGCATGCAGCTATGTTTATTCATTTTCATTGATATGTATTCCCTTAAGTATGCATGTTGATAAACATTTGTATTGTTTCTAATTTGAGGATATTAGGACTGATGTTGTGAGGAATATTTTCTCCATTTCTTGGTGCTTTCACTCATGCATTTCTGTAGGTATTTATCTAAAAGTAGAATTGCTGGATAGGATACTAAAAGCTTTTACTGCTCTCTGTTCTAACTAGCTCTTATCAGTCTAGTGCCTAAGGCATTTGACTGCTAACCAGAAGGCTGGCAGTTGAGACCCACCAGCCACTCTTTGGAAGGAAGGTTGGGCGATCTACTTCTGTGGTGATACTGCCTTAGAAACCCAAGGAGGGGTCACTATGAGTCGGATCCGACTTAAGGGCAGTGAGGTTTGTTTTTTTTTTTTTTAAAAATAGTGGGTGAATAATAGTATCTCATTGTTAAATTGATCTTTCCCAGGTGTGGTAGTTAGGGTTATGTGTCAACTTGGCTGGGCCTGGTTTTGAGTGGCTGGGCAGCTGGTGGTAGTTATTCCTCATGACGAGACTGGCAATCAACTCCGTGGTGTAATCTGCCACAGGCAGCTGAGTAGCTGCTTTAGGGAGGTGGTCTGTTTCTCATATATAGGAGAAGCTTTGGGAATGGTCTCTAGCTTTTTGGCACATTTGAATCTTGTGTGTGGCCCAGTCATTGTTCAGCAGCCTGCCATGCCATGCCGATCTTGGGACTTGAATTAGGGGCCTACTGCTTTGTGTAGTACGTTTTTAGTTGTCAACCTTGGGTTCGTCAGCTTCAGCAGCCAGAAAACTGCCTCAGTGAAGAAAAGCCTCCAGCTTCAGTGGGCCAGGAGCAGGAGGCAGAGCTGAACCCCAAGGTTGAGGGGCTTTCACCCAGTCCCTGAAGCTTGGCACTTTGCACTTGGACTTCTAGCCTCCAAAATTGTAAGAGAATAACTCTTGTTTGTCAAAGCCATCCCATCTGTCGTATATTCCTGTCAGAGCGGCACTACGTAACCAAAACACCAGGTTACTGATGGGATTTGCCAATTTTAAGATGCTGGTTCTATCTTTCTACCCACAGTGTTTTTTCTTTTTTTAGTTTATTAGTAAGAGTTCTTTATATATCCTGGATATAAGGCCTTCATCATTTGTGTTGAAATTTCTTCTCTGTGACTTGCATTGTTGTTGTTGTTGTTGTT